AAAAAGGTGAGTAAAGTAAGAGAGGACCAGGTTTTAGAAGAATATGAAAATTAAAACTAAATCTGCTCTGTTTCACTAGATTATAAAGGAATGTAACTCCAGTGTGCAGTCCATGAAGAGGATGGAAGAACTAATTCATCTAAACAAGAAAATTCACTTTGAGGGCAAGGTATAACATTGGGCATTCATTTTAATGTTTAATTAGATATGTATTGTATATCATGCAGGGGCATCTGAAACCAATTTTTTTTATATATATATATATTATTATTATTATTATTGAGGTGCCAGTGGCAGCCCTGGCTCATTTTGTGCCATTCACAATTATTTATTTTTTTGACTACTTAGTTCTTTCCAAAAGTAAAGTTTTATTAACTGAAAGTTGCATTTAAATTTAATCAAAGACTTTACTTACAATAATTATCAAGTATACAGTACAAAATAAATAATTGGTTTTGGAAGTTGCATTCAAAATTCTCTTCAAAATGTGCAAAAATCAGTTTGATTGAGCATGACACTTCTGGCATCATGTTTTCATATTACTGGCTTGTCAGTTTGTGTTTTTTTTGTTTCATTTTAGATTTTTCCTCTCATCTCTCAGTCTCGCTGGCTGGTCAAACATGGTGAACTGCTAGAAGTCGACACACAGAACTTGAATATTTCTGGGTCTAAGTTTAAACTTACCACTCGGCCTGTGTACCTTCACCTGTTTAATGACTGTCTTCTGTTGTCCAGAAGGAAGGAGTAAGTCTAATGGGAAAGAGAGACAAAAAGAAAAAGAGAAAACAAGCACATGTGTCCTTTAATGTCCAGTGTAATATCTGGATTCTGAAACAAACCCAGTTGAAAACCTGGTGTAAATGATAATAAGTCTGCTACAAAACCTGTCCCTTCTCTACAGCACGTGGAAGTTCATGGTGTTTGTACATGCAAAGATTGAAGACCTCAAGGTGAAAGATCTAAGCCAGAAACTTCAGGGAATCTCAGGCTTCATCTTCTATCTGCAGTTATGTGAGGGACAACAGCTAAAACACCAGATCCTGCTCAAGTCACCCACAGAGTGAGGACATTCGCATCATTCGAAAATGTTAACATCCAAAATTAAAATAATTTTCCTTGAAAATAACAAGCCACACATTAACATATTGAAAATATGTCCATACAGGATGCATAAAACTAAGTTTAAAACTAAGTCAAGAACATTCTGTTTTATATGTAGGAGCAGCAAACAGAGGTGGATAACAGCTATGTTTCCCTCCGATCCAAAGACCGCTATTGAGCAGACCAATGAAAATGATGGTATGTAAATTCTTTGTCTCACTCTTGTCATGCATTTCAGATTTAACTACATTTCAAACTCAAAGCTGCTATTTAAATGGTATGTAAAAAGTGAATTGTGGCTGGTAGCATTAGGTGGATAATTGCCAGTGTGTGCCAGATAGTCCAGATACTTTATGATGAAAGTCAAAAGTTTGGCTATGTTAAACTAAGCAGTTTGGACTGTTCTTCCTGACATACAAAGTCATCAGTTATTTCACTGACATAACATTGAAAAAATAGTGGAATACACAGTTCTGCTCAAGACTATTCTGTTTACTTGTGAACTAAGTGCCTCAAATAAAACTCTAAAAGGAATAGTTCACCCAAAAATGGAAATTGTCTCATTGCTTACTCTCGTGTCTTTCCAAACCTCTGTAGCATCTGGACCAATCAGACACACAATTTATTTTAGTTACGTTGAACAAATACTCTGTGAACAAACCAACTACGAGGGTCTATGGACCCTTCCCCCAAAATGCATATAACACCTCAGAAAGGCAGAACAGGCCTCTGGTTCCATGGCAACCAATGCTGATATCACTGGTTTTATTGCCCAAAGGAATGCGGGCAGAGAAACTCACAATTCATTTACCCTTAGGAAAGACACACAATGCCCATTAAAATGGACTTCTCTAATTAATTCATAGAAAAACCTTTCTGTGAATGAACACACATCTCCTCGGGACATTGTGTATACCATTACTGTTCTTGTATATTGTCTTTTGAATGGTATACTGTTTTGTGTGTATTATGATAGATCACTAGTTAATATAACCCCACCGATACCATGTTTGGTCTCTTTGAATTTGTCTTCTGATGATCTAAACGACAGTATATATTATATGTTGGTACATAGGCAATATATAAGTGTTCTAAGAATCTTTAGTAGTTTTTGCATTAACACCCAATCAAATTACATATGCAAAATACCATGCTCTAAGACAAAGAGTCGTAAACTTTCCCTCCAAAAGTGAAAGCCACCATTGGCTCTGTGACCTCCCGGAGGTGTGAGCTCAATAGGAGATAAAGCTCTCACATCAGTGAACCGCCTCAGTCAGTCTGCGGTTCTGTTCGATTCTGAGAACATGAGGATGTGAGCTAGAACACTTCTGCAACCCTTAAGTCTGCACCAGGCTTCAGCGATGGCAATTTAATTCTGCTACAGTTACTACTGGCAGCTGATATAAATAATTGTAATTAATCATAATTAACTGTAATTATTTATATACATTTCCCTTTTGAGCTAATTTGCTACACCTCTATGACCATATTTCTTCTGTTGAACAAAAACATATTTTGAAGCGTCTTTAAATGGAACATACCATTTAAAAAAAAAAGTGAATTTTGTGTTCCACAGCATAGCATGCAGGTTTAAACAACAAAAGATTGATCATCAGTTCTCATTATTACCCCTAACGTTTTGTGTACAGTCTGCCTTGTGATGCTAAGACTTATGTTTTCATAGAAAATCTGAAAAACTTAATGTCTGCATTTGTCTGTACAGATCTATCTCAAGTCCAGTGCATAAAGAGTTACCAGTCTCAGGAGCATGATGAGTTAATGCTGGAGAAGGCAGACATCCTTCAAGCTGTAACAATTACAAGTGATGGTAAGGAAAATCATTTCCCTTCCTCTGGCTACACTCCATTATTCCCTTTGAAGATGAGAAGCTGAAGGACTGCAAAGTAGAGATAAATGACCATTTATGTTTTCAATTCTCAGGGTGGGTAGAGGGGATCCGGTTGTCGGATGGAGAGAGGGGCTGGTTCCCCAAAACGTACGTGGAGGAGATCACAAGCCGCAGTGCTCGTTTGCGAAACCTCCGTGAAAACATTCGCATTAAATGTGTCTCACAAAAATTAGAGGGAGAGACTCTCTGAGACCTTGAAGTATGGGACATTGTTTTACCTAAAGCTTGTTGTATCATCTGGTTTACCAAACCAGAGAAAATTTGTGAGTCACTGCAAATTTGTGTGAATATTTCAGATTTCCATGGCTAACATTTTAGCTTTAGTAAGGTATGCTGTAAAAATCAAAAATGTATTGCAGATAGGATGAATAAGACTATGCATCGCATCTATGGAGGACTAGAAGTGCCACATAAAAAAAATAAAATTAATGCATTAAATTAAAAAAATGCATATAAATCACTTTGCAAAGTTTTACAAATATATTTAAAAATAGTAAATTAATTATTACAATAATGTTTGAATATTAAGATAAAATAACATGATGCATTTAAATTTTACAAATGAATTTTGACATTCATTGACTATTGTTTCCTTGACAAATGAAAAAATGGTTTTACATACACTGCCGTTCAAAAGTGTGGGATTAGTAAGATTTGAAATGTTTTTTAAAGAAGTCTCTTCTGCTCATCATGGCTGTATTTATTTGATCAGAAATCTACATGCTCTAATGCATTAATACTGTATGAAAGTATTTTCTGTGGCCACAGAATGATCCTTTCCTAGAGTTGATATGAACTTACACTGAATGTTCTTGGTTGATGGCAATTTAATTCTGCTACAGTTACTACTGGCAGCTGATATAAATAATTGTAATTAATCATAATTAACTGTAATTATTTATATACATTTCCCTTTTTTAATTTTAATTTCCCTAATCTAATTTGCTACACCTCTATGACCATATTTCTTCTGTTGAACAAAAACATATTTTGAAGCGTCTTTAAATGGAACATACCATTTAAAAAAAAGTGAATTTTGTGTTCCACAGCATAGCATGCAGGTTTAAACAACAAAAGATTGATAATACAGAAAAAACAGTAATATTGTGAAATATTATTGCAATTTAAAATAATGGTTTTCTATTTTAATATACTTTCAAATGTAATTTATTCCTGTGATGCAAAGCTGAATGTTCATCAGCATCATTACTCCAGTCTTCAGTGTCACGTGATCCTTCAGAAATCATTCTTAAATGCTGATTTATTACAGTTTTGCTGCTTAATGTTTTTTTTTGGAACCTGTGATACTTTTTTCAGGATTCTTTGATGAATAAAAAGTTAAAAGGAACAATTTATTCAAAATATAAATCTTTTGTTACAATATACACTACCATTCAAAAGTTTTCAATGGTATTTTTTTCTTTTCTTTTTTTTTTTGAAAGAAATTTTATTTTTATTCAGCAAGGATGTGCTAAATTGATAAAAAGTGATAATTAAGACATTGTTGGAAAGGATTTTAAATAAATGCTGTTCTTTTTAATATTATTCATCAAAGAATCCTGAAAAAAGTATCACAGGTTCCAAAAAACGCCAACAACTGTTTCCAACATTGATAATAAATCAGCATATTGGGATGGTTTCTGAAAGATCATGACACTGAAGACTGGAGTAATGATGATGAAAATTCAGCTTTGCATCACAGAAATTTTAAAGTATATTAAAATAGAAAACCATTCTTTTAAATGTTAATAATAATTTACAATATTACTGTTTTTCTGTATTTTTGGTGAAATGACTGCAGCCTTGATGAACAGAAGAGACTTCTTTAAAACACGTTAAAAATCTTACTGATCCCAAACTTTTGAACAGCAGTGTATCTATTTTCATTTTAATGAATTAATTATTGATTTCCTCTTTATGTGATGCTACTAGTCCTCCTCAATCAATTAAGAGTTTTGCACTTCAGTTTTTAAGTATCGGTAGCTCTCCAAGCGGTATTACCTTGGTTCTTTTCTACTGCTCGCTTGCAAAGAAATGCATGTGTTGTTACTGCATGTAGCATATGGTGCTGCACTTTCTGACAGTCCACAGACGCACACTACTCAAAATACAGCGGTCCCATGCAGGTTCACCATGTGGGTGGATGAAATTTGGATATGTCAGCTGTTAAAATGTTTAGAAAAATAACAAGATCCAATTTAAATGGCTTAGTTTTAGGTGGCATAGCAGCTATTTCACTCTCAAGTGTTTTTATGAGGACTTAAAGTGAGATGTCTTGTCGTTAGCAGATTCACTAACCAGTCACACAGTAAAGCTCAATGCTCGCTTTTACTAGTGAAAAATTGGACCAAAATTTTGAACTTTTTGAGTTGCTGTTGCAACGTAAATATTAGTTTATGCCACTAGTCTTCTGTAGATAATCATTTACTTAATAGTGCTGGCATAATAACAGGAAGTGTTCTTTCAAATTATGACCATTATTTATGTCAGTGATACTGATGTTTGTGTATTTGTTGTTTTGGCGAAGCAGATTTTTTAGGCAGTTTCTGTGTGGAGTACTGATATCCTGAGCATGTTAAATCACATTTGAAATATAATCCTTAATGGTGACTTTGTAAATAAATAAATGCATATATTCTAGCTGAAAGTGTCTCACATGTCTGTCTGAGACTAATACAAAAAAAAGTTGAGCTTTCAGGGTGTGTAAAGTTAGCCTTACTGTAATCAGGATTCCCAGCCACGTATGCACACAGCTACAACAAAGCGTGCCTCATAAACATCAGTTTCATTCCAGGCTCACCTCATATCCCATGGAGCAATAAAGCAGCCGGGTAGCAGGTAAATAGAATAGTTTCTTTGTTACAGCTGTTCTAAGAACCTTGAATGGTTTCCAACTGCAGTAAATCAGAGGTGAAAGACTGCTGAAAAGGAGCTGCAGTTAGAGACAGATAAGAGACGGGCTGCAGAGGCCCAGGAATGCATTTCTAATTAAAGCCATTTATCACAGTGAAGCATTTCATATAAATTTTATATAATGCACTGTACTTAAAATTGTAGTATTGTAGTAGCAAAATGCACTCTTGCAGGTTAAAGTTACTTCTGCTACAGGTTTGCAGCAATTATTAGCTACTGTATCTATCAAGCTTTTTTAGCAATTGAAACAGAAGTAGTAACAACTTTTCTTCCATATTGTGACATACCTTTGAGTGAAACTGAAGATCAAAAACGAAAAAAAAAACCTACTAGTTTCCAATGTGTAGTAGGGAAAAGGTGTGCTAGGGAGATTACAATGACATTTTTCATTCAGGAGGGAAGGGTCTTTTTTTTTTTTTTAAACCTCCACAAGGTCTGTCTGTAGTGGCCTTACATATTCAACCCACTTAGTCCAGAGTTTAATGAACACATTTTTCTGAAGACGAAGGGAAAAGTAATGTTTTCCATAACAAATATAATTTACTAAATTCATCCACCCTTGTATTGTGGGGGGCCCAGGAAGCAGCCAACGCCTTGTGAGTGCTTTTTTACCGGCAGATTTTAAAATGGCAAATAAATATCCCTCAGGCCATCTTGCCTGGAAATCAGCACTTCCTAAAAAAAAATATGGAAAAGTGCAAAGGCAGAGCAGTCGTCTTTTTCCCCCCACTGCTACTCTGATGAGTCCAATGTCCAGTCTTCAGCAAAGTCTCTATATGATCTTCAGACAAATACCACACGAAAGTTATTGAATGGATTTTTGCATCTTAAGGGACATTTTTAGCAATAACACACTATCAGTGCCAGTGGCTAAAAGAAAATAAGGCTGAATCTTCTCAATGTATCTGTGTATCGAAATGAAATTTTATAATTTGCACTGCTACTGTGTCCTAAGGACACCTACTTTAGAGCTGATCATAAAAGGCCTAAATTCATAACTCTGCTGTCTTTAAATTCTTTGCATGATAACCATATTTCCAGAGTCTGGCATATTGCATGTCCACCATTTTTCATTTGAATCTGTCTTTTTGAATTACAACAGCAGTATGTCTTTCTGGCAACACACCAAAGATGTGTCTGGAGTGGGTAGAAATTTTGGCTGGTAGTCAGAAGGTTGAAAGTTCAAGTCCTGCCTGGGGTGATCCTGAAGTTGTACCTCTGCATCTCACTGAGTGTTTATAGATGAAAAGGTTTACTGTTGCCAAGTAATTGTTACATGCAGGTATATTATATTCTTTCCTTACCTTCTAATACTGAATAATATCAGACACCACAAGTTGCCAGAAAAATACAGAATCCTTAACAAGCAGAACTGACAATGATTTACATCTCTATTGTACCCTGCTGGGATGCATGTCATGTGCTATGATGCCCTTTTAATGGTTTTTATATTTTGTATCCTTTTCTCTCCCTTCTTGTCTGTTTGTAAATACACTTAACACCACTGCCCTCTGCTGACTGTAACCTGCAACTACACAGAGAGTCTCCCAGGTCAAAGTAACAACGCTCGCTTGGCTTGACAAATAATATATCTCAGGGTTGATAACCCATTCTATTTAACTATTTTTCAACTCTCTCATCATACTATGATCGTCGTAGTATATAAATCATATATCTTGAGGAAGATGGAGACATTCGAGTATCCGCATATAAATCTGTAAGTCTGGTAAACAAAGCATATAGCATATCGTTTTCTTCATATAATTGTGCGGGCCATCCACAAAATGCTCTCCTAGGTCTTAATTCATGCGAATGGCTTGTTCTGACAATTCTCATCTTTTGTTTTCAAGAGATGTTTACATATATGCAGCATGTTTTGTGAAATTTACACAGATACCAGTAGGTTGTCAATATTTTAAGTCTTGTCCTGTTGGCTGACCAAACAGGGTGAGAGGTTGACAGACATTGAGTATGGCTGTAACCAAGCCACTATTCCTTACTTTAGTCCACCAACAGTTCTCACAGTGCTTACCTGGTTGTCTTCGGTAGTAACAAAACGATCTATCTTGAAATCTGTCATGGAACGTAATTAAACGATTTAACAATGAATAAAAAAAAACTTACACCAATATGATTTCACTGTGGATGCCATCTTCTCGCTGTTCTGTCCCATTGTCTGAAACTAAGTCATTACAAATTACTCAAGAATCACTTGAACGTTGTTTGATGTCTTTGAAGAAGAAGAAGAAAAAAGATTCCTTAGCTCAGATATATGATACCCTGGAATTAAGTACTAATTAAAACAATTTATTACATCACATTTAAACATTTGTATTCATTTTATACATTGTACTTACTGTATGTATGCATGTGAGGCCTGTTCCCTACCTCAAAACAGATATTTATGGAGCAGACTGTAATAATTACTATCTAAACCTGCAAATTTCCTAGCTATTGAAGATCCTTCCTCACAAGCAGTGAAGAGATTTGTTACTTAGGAGTGAAATGCAACAGTAAAATGTTCATTTGTAATCAGCAGCTTTCATTGGGCACAATATATGGAGTTCACAGCCATTTTAATTTCCATTCGTCACATCATCCTCAGCTTCTGCGCTTCTTCGGTATCAGAGGTGGAGGGGTATGATGTGGCAATGAATCTGCCACTTTATCAGGCTGTGGCAGATGGAGAAAAACATCTTTAACTGTATTGTATCAGTATGTTTAGGATGCATGACTATTTACATCTTGTAAACTGGTAAACACCGAAGTTATTTGTTTTGCTATAATGATCATTAGCTAAAATACAACAACTGCAGTCTTGCCTGTTGTAACTGGAAGATCCAGCTTTGATAGTCCTCAGGGTATGTACAGGAGACGAGCAGAGGCTCCATCAGTTCACCTGGAAAATACATCACTCCAGATCAGCATAAAGATTACAACAGTTTAGAAAACACACTCGACGTTGCGTGAAGTTGGTACTGTATATGGCTTGAAATCTGTCAGAAAGGTGCACAGAATAGCTATGAAGCGACATGAATCATAGTTCACATATTTTTTATTTAAAAAGGGCATTTAAAGGTCTTTTACAAGATATGTCTATAACTTGGTGCCATTTCAAATGAATTGCCTCTTTAACAGTTTCAACAAAATTCAAGTGAGAAGAGGAACACACTAAGAAGCCAGTCTAAATGTGCTTATCATCACATGGCTATATTCTGAAGCGGAGTCACAAGCATCTATGACTACCACAGATCACTTGATTTCTGACTCTTATCTCAAAATATGAAATGTATCCAACTTTGGCTTTCTTGGGATATATAAAAGATCAATATATACTAATATACCTCCAACAAACTAACGAGTAAGACCAGTGGTTTGGTGTTATGCGAGAGTTATTTCTTGGATTCTCATGGCAATTCATATAATGAAATGACTGATATATGACAGATAAACATTGCACAGATATGTGCCTAAAGAAAGTAAAGACCATTACCACATCCTAATGAAATGTATCCAACTTTGGCTTTCTTGGGATATATAAAAGATCAATATATACTAATATACCTCCAACAAACAAGTAAGACCAGTGGTTTGGTGTTATGCGAGAGTTATTTCTTGGATTCTCATGGCAATTCATATAATGAAATGACTGATATATGACAGATAAACATTGCACAGATATGTGCCTAAAGAAAGTAAAGACCATTACCACATCCTCCACTGAAGTGCAGTGTGTTGTGTAAGAACGCTAGCACAGTGTGACAGTATATATAGCTATATGTGCTGGCCCAAACAGAGGTAACACTTTCTTTTGATAGTCCACTTTAGACATTCAACTACCCTCATCTTTTTAAGTGGGAGAACTTGCACAATTGGTGGCTGACTAAATACTTTTTTTCCCCACTGTAACTACATGTCAACTAGCAGTCATTGGAGTATTCGTAGACTGTTTGCTTAATAACTGTTAACACTTTATTTTGATGGTCGCTCAACAGACGTTCTACTGACTATAAGTAACTTTGCAAGCACGGCAACTTATTCTACTAACCCTAACCTAACAGCCTACAAACACTCTAATGAGAGTTAGTTGACATGTAGTTGCAAAGTTACTTACAGTTAGTAGAACGTCTAAAGTGGACTATCAAAATAAAGTGTAACCACAAATATAAGTGCAAACTGCATAATGTTTTTGGACACTTAATGCAATAAAAGCTGAGATGTTAAATGCAATTAAATGAAAATGTATTATAGTTAAATTTTTTATTAAATGCAATTAGCTGAAGTTTAAAGTGTTTTTTGGTGATGAAACAACGTCTTTTTATGAAACTTCATAATTCCATTGTCTCCGAAATATGGTTACTGCCGAATGTTACACTAAAAATTGCTGGGTTGTTTCAACTCAATGTTGGGTCAAATATGGACTAACCCAACTGTTGGGTTAAATTTTGGTTACATTTTTAAATTAGCTTTTTAACCCAACAGTTGGGTTAGTCCATATTTGACCCAACATTGGGTTGAAACAACCCAGCATTTTTTAGAGTGTAGTTAGTCATCACATCAAACGTCTTTAAAGCAGGACAAAACAGTACAAAACATAATTATTTAAAATATACTTTAAAGGTAAATGTTTAATTTGTGTGTTATGAAATTATATTATCTTCAAGTACAGTTAAAAAAAAATATTGGCTACTTTTAAGATTTGAGGTATATTACAAGTGCACATTTAATACAATTAAGCACACTTTAACGAGGGTTGTTTTGGAATTATATAAGGAATAATGTAAGTAATACACCTGTTCAGAAAGATACTTACCCGTGAGTTCAAACTCCAGTCTGCCAGGTAGTGCAGATCTTTCCATGGCTTTAATGCTCTTAAGTGGCAGACGACCCTTTAGTATAAAACCATACAACTCATTTAGTGCTGTCATGCTGTATAAACATGTGAATAGTATTATATTTTGAATTAAAATGTAGTTTAATTTCACTTAAATTGAGGTTAAATAATAAGGATTCTGGCCAGAAGGTCTTTCATGAAGATGTCTTAAAATGCACTTGATAAATGAACATTGCCAACTCTCAGTGTCAGCACTTTGTCAGTGACTTTTTAACGAAGTTGACTTTTCAATCAAATAGGGTTCACCATTTGAGGCTGCCAAATTCATTTGAATGGTTCACAGTAGCAGACATACTGCTGACAATGCAGTGTTCTGCAGAGCTCATTGTTTAGTCAGCAAAATCAGCTTACCTCATATTTCACACGTACATGATGACAGTCGAGAGACAGAATGAGGAGGTCACATGGGAAGAGCACAAGCAAACGCTCCTGAGGTTCCTGCAAACGCCGGTCCTGTTGTTTGAAAGAGGTCTGTTACCATCACGAATTACATGGACACATCTCTCTATTTATAGTCTATACTCTTACCTGTGTGTATATGTTGCTGATGTGCACCAGTGAAATGTATCTTGGATAGCCCATGTGCTGAATGGGCTTCCCCTCCCATTGCAAGATGGGAGACTGCAGTAAGTACCTTTTAAGCTCATCCCTCTTCCAGTTTTCATGACATGGCACCTGGAACAGTGAAAATAATATGTATAAGCAATAATAAAGATCCTTCTTTGGGCAAAAATAACCAATGCTTGTTTGTTTGTTAATTTATTTTACTTTGTCAATGTTTTATGCGTTCTATATAGGATATCTATTTCAGTTACAAGACTGAATAAGATCTACCAGGTATGAGAGCGCGCTATGGGACGGGCTCAGCTGTTGCATAAGGGATTTGTATCTCCTGTCCTCGATATTCTCCATCCAGGTTTTTGTTTCAGCAGCAGTAGCACAAAGGAAGATCTTTGAGTCCACCATAGGGCCTAGAGTGTCATAAATCTAGGTGAACTATAATCACAAAATTCTGTGACCTCAAAATTTTCATATTTGGGGCTCTTACCGCTAATCTCAAACATATCTGGAGAACTATGGTCCTGCTGTGAGATCAGACGCACCTCGATGGCTGAGAGAGGAAGAATGCCCTGTGATGAAACACAGATGACAGTTTAGAGTGAAGCCCATGCCATTAAATATTTGCTAATACTTATAAGAGTCTTACCTCATAAATAAAATCATGATTAGAACTGTCCAATGCGAGGATTAACAAATGGAAGGAAAATAAAACCAGAAATCTTTCACTCATAGCCTGCAGACAGGAATCATAATGAATACAAATTACAGTTACTCAATAAGTTGGACATATGCATTAAAAGAAATAACAATTTGACTCCAAACATTGAGTAAAATCAAGAGGAATCTTTTTCAGCAGTTTGTGTCAGTTTGGCACATGAACGGTGTATGAAACAATTTAGCTGAATTGTTACCTTTGTGTCTCCACTGTGTAAATACACTGAAGATGAGTGGATAATGTCTCCATAGGTGTGTGGTGCCTGTCCTTCCCATTCTCTGATAGGTTGAGTGTATAGCCTATGATGGAGTTCATTTTTTGTCAAGCCCCAAAGCACCAGCTGACAAACAGGAATACAAATATACAAATATCACTCTACTTTATGTTACAGTATATGAAGAGCATATAATGTTGATAAATGCACAATTGATGATTGTATTTTTTTATTATTATTATCATTGTTCATTTATTTTTTAAGCTGATGAAGACATACTTGTGAATTGTTGTGTTTTGTTGTGTCCTTCACAGTCACAGAGACAGGTTCATGGTTCTTACACAAGACACAAATGTAGATAAAGTTGATAAAACTCTTATTCAGTGCAGACATTGAGTTTAATCTACTGTAGATGTATGTGAACACAGTGGCCCCAAAAAGTTTAGATACTTTAATGCATTTAAGCCAAACCTGTCAGAATGTTACTGCATTATATAAAATATAAAACCAAGTGGCATCTGCACACCAATGATGCTATTTTCTTTCAAATAATTACCAGTAGGTTTGATAATTTGATGCAATTCAGAAACATTCCTAGATTTTTAAGTGTCAAAACGTGTTTTTGTGTATGTGTGTGGCCACTGTGTACATATACATATGCTTTCTTTTGTTTTCTATCTCTCTTTGTTAATGTCTTTTGTGGAAACATAGCTACGCCCTTTGCCGCTTCCTGTTTACTGGCTTACCTTCTGCTTCAGGTGCCTCACAGAGGGACAGCGATGACGACCTTCATCTGTGCCATTCCTTGTGGAAATCTGGAGCCTGCTTTCAGCAAGATTCCAGATCCTAAAACAGCAGATGGCTAAACACTGTCAAATCACTTTAACAGATGAGGATTTAAGAAATGGAATGCAAATTGTTGTGTTCTGCCCTGTGTGATAGATTTAATGGGACAGTTTTGGTCATGGCTGTTCTATACAAGAATCATGTTTGACTGTTTTGCAAGTGAATGCTAAGGCACTTTAAGGTTAAGCTTGCTAGAAAAAAAATGTAACATGGAAAAAACATGGAACAATGATTTATCGTTATTTATTTACATTTATTTTATTATTAACTTTACATATTTGCTTCATGTGGTAAAATGTAAAAATATTAGTTAACATTACTAATATCAAGACAGGGTTATACCAGTAAAAGTCATTTTTAAGGTTCAGATCAGGTAGAAAAATCTCCTTAATGTAACAGCCTCACTTATCTATATTTTAGCATGTGTATAGTTTTTCATTAGTAAAACCATGAAGATCATCCTAAATCTAGTCTGGGAAACCATTACATCCATTTCCATTTGGACACCACATATGACAAGTTATCACCCTATTGTCAGCCTGAAGACAGTTTTTATTACTTTATCATCGCACATTAACAGACACTTTGTGTGAGGTTTGTTCCCTAAATATCACTTATTTCATCCCCAGACCCTCTGTTCCCGCTGCTTTACCCATGCTGCTTGCTGGGGAAATGCCCAGACATAAGCAGCTTACTGTGGGCGGTGAATGACAAGCAGACACCCTCCATCAGACCCTCATTGTGTCCGACTCTTTAAAATACACCCACAAAACAGGTATATTGCAAGAGCGTTGTCCACATGATGAGTGATTTAACTTTATTATTACTCTAAACAGACAATGTTTTCACCCCTGATGCAGTATTTGCATATTAATAACCCGTGTGTATTTCCGCAGATTGGCCGTTGTCTGATCCCCGTTTTTCTGCTAGTTTGGCCACATAAAGCTTATGAGCTCTGTTTAACTCCCACTCTAATCCCTACAGTCACCTAATGAGAGGATTGAGGCTTCCAGCTTGGAGTAAGACACCAGACTGCTTAAACACACTTGGCTCCTTTAATTAGCTATACTAGTTGCATTAGTTCTGCCTCATTTGGTGAATGAGAGGCTCTAATGAGATCTGTAGCTGCACGTCTGCTGTCCATCCACAGTAAACACCACCATTGTGAGTGGTATAAAACAACTCAAACTCAAGATGTTTCACACTGTTACATCAGATACATTTCAGACAAACAGAATTGAAGCAGAACCGTTTGATGTAAGAATTGGCAGGTAGAAATGGCTTGGCTGAAACTGAAACTGTCACATGGGTTTTCACTATAAAGACCATTACTCTTAAAATATATCCAACAAAAAATCCAACAGACATTGACAATGCCAGTGCACAGCTGCTTCTATTTTAACATCCACATGATTATGAACAACTGACCTACTCATTTCTTATGGTAATTTGATGGGAAAATTTTTTTAAAAAGCAGCTTAGCAGTTCTCTTCAAAGCTTAAAATTTGTAATTTAATTTAGTGTGCCACAAAACTCAGGTTCAAATCGTATATTTGTAATAGTATATATATATATATATATATATATTTCAAATAAATGTTTTTGTGTCAAAATGTTCTTTTGAACTTTATATTCATCAGAGAATCCTGGAAAAAAACAAGTTATATATAACGTTACTTTGTATATATAACAGTATATATGACGTTACTTTGAATTGTAAAACATTTTCCTCAATATTACTGTTGTACTGTATTTTTGTGGGAAAAAATGCAGCCTTGGTGAGCAACCAAGCATAACTCATTTGGTCAAAAGTTTTGAGCAACTAAGGATAAAATAGATGAAAAAGGTGTGAATAAATTGAACATTAATTAGATATATAAGTGGGTGACATGCAAAAAATAAAAAATGTTAAAAGTTAAAACGTTAAAAAGTTAAACCTTTGAAGGAGCATCCATTTGATTGGACATTATGCTTCTGGTGATGAGCAACATCATTAGTCATAAGCAGAAGCAAATTCTCATTATTCTGAGAAAAGCACTTATAATAGCAATTACACTATAGCTCATTTGTCATCCATCATCTTCCTGTTCCTTTACTTTGGCCACTTTCATTTCTGTCACCACAGTGTGGAGGGAGTATGGCTCAGCCAAATTAATCTTGGATGTTTTTAGGTTGCAGCTCATGTGCTCCATTTTGTCTGTTTGGTGGCCTTGAGCTCCAAGTCTTTGTGTGGAGTTTGAGCCTTTGCTCAGGGCTGGTGTAGACAATGACCTGATTGCACTTCTCACTGGCTGCGGAGGCACGTTGAGGTTGGACATCACTGCAGGATGTTGCCAGGTGCACTTGCTCAGCTGAAGCACAACACGAGAACGCAAGGGTTTGGGCTGGTGTGGTCGAAGCTGATTTGTTTCTTGAGCTTTGGATGTCAGAGGCTTCTGGGATATAGGTGAAGGTTGTTTCATTGGTAACTCCACAGGCTGCTGTGAAGGTGGGATGGTATTGGACAAAGCAGAGGAAGAGAGGACGGCGGTGGAAGGGACAAGACATTTGGCTTGAGTTTCCGAATATTTGCTGGCCCTATTGGTTGATTTCCCTGTTTGTGTTGCAATGGCAACGGTTTTGTTGGTGTTAATGTGGGTGGAGCTGCTCTTTGGGTGGAGGGTGGAGAAAGGCCTGGTGGTTTTGTGTCTCTGTTTGGTTATGGTCACAGTCTCACCACTATACAGCAATAGAAAATCTCTTTGACTGTTTAGCGGCAACAGTTTCAGTCCACAGCAAGACTTTTGGAAGATTTCCAAAGTAAGGTCTGAAATGAAAGGATGTCACATCTACAAGTGTTGTCACACCTCATCTTATCAAGTGCCATCACAAGCAACACATTTTCACAGCTTTCATATATGCATTATTCAAACAAACTAGAAGTTTTTATCTCATTTATAATGGCACATTTCACACTGTTGATGCATCACATTTAAAACACATTTGTTTGTACATAATTGATCAAAGTGTGGTTTAACTGAATATTTATGTATCTGTTAAACATATTCAATGCATTCAGAACTATTATTTACTTTAACTCACCGAGTGCCTCGGTGACTGTCTGTGGTATCACATCTTTCAGTACTTCACAGTTAGTATGCAGGGCAGGGTTACAATTCATCTCGAGCAACCAGACCTGCCCAAAACAAACACATCACATTACAATTTAAGTGACTTCTCAAACTATGAAGATGAAGATAAAAGGAGCTCTTTTGTTAAAGTGACAATAAATATATTTAAAATGTATTTAAAAATATATCTAATGCTTTACATTTTATAATTAATTTCTAAATTGTTATAACTAAAATAATTAATTTCTAAATTATTATATCAATTTATAAAAGTTATGTTTTGTCCAGTTTGACCATGGAAATTCAGTACTCTGATGAACTACGCTCTATCATACTCTGTCATATTACTAAATAGCCATCAATACAACACACACACACACACACACACACATTTCCATTCCCCCTGAAGTCCCTATAAACACTCTTTTGTGTCTCACCTTGAAATCCTCATCAATCAAGAAGTCACAACCAATTAGATCAAAGTAACCAAGTTTGCAGTCCAGCTTGGCTTTGACAGCTTGAAAGCACTGCATGATAATATGTTGCATCCTTTTCTGCAGAATAACAAAACATTCAGGTAGGATGCAGTTTAATGATTGAATACTGAAATTAAATGTTGTTCCTCTGTTTTAGAATTCATATTCGACTGACAAAATTATTTATTGTGTTTTGAGCTCCAAGATTATACTGGCCTTAATTTTACACATTTTTATTTTACTATTTGGTTTCATCTTTCTCAATGTATCTGATTCTCTTTTAATATTTCATATACTCCCAAAAACGTTGTTACCATGACAACGGTAAATCTGCATCCTTTCAAGCAATTTGAATACATCTACATGCAGGCATTACTTTAAAAGACACATGATTACTTTAAAGATACATTAAGATTAACATATATTATCAGTTAATTATTCTTATAACAACTTATTATATAAAACTATCAAACTGATTTGAGCATATTGCTCCGTTGATTTGTGAATAATTATCAAACTCACTGCAAAAGGACCCAGAGCCCAATCTTTAGGCAGACCCTTTGGCAGCATGTAAGTCTCATTAATGTATATATTGAAGCGCTCCATGGACCAAACGGTTTCCTCTTTTAGCAGGCTGTAGAGAGGATTTTTCTTCTGCATGTACTGAAACAAAGTCGAAATTGTAGTATCTTACAACCTGAATACAAGCAATATACATAATAATATTAATGAAGGTTTAAAATACACATCTTACTTGATTGGTCAGGTGGGCTGTTATATTGTCAGAGTTTGGGTCATAAAGGTTACATGTCAATCGGATGTAACCATGGCGAAAAAACACCATGTATGGCGAAGTGGAAGCAATTAGAAAGTATGACCGCACATCAAATTTCCGTCCTTTTAGTAGCAAAGGGTTCTGGATGTACCTTAAAAGAATCAGAAGAGAATACAAAAAAGCATTAGTACTGATTAAATATTAAATATTTTTTTTTAATTAAATTAATGTGAAGATGTATCAGGCATTTTTTATTATTATTTAATAAATAACATTTAATATGTTATTCTTCATTAATATATCCAAATACTTATTTTCCACCTTAATTTGCAAATAAATTCTTTAAAAATCCTACAATGTGATTTTCTGGATTTTTTTTCTCATTTTGTCTCTCATAGTTGAGGTATACCTATGATGAAAATTACAGGCCTCTCTCATCTTTTTAAGTGGGAGAACTTGCACAATTGGTGGCTGACTAAATACTTTTTTTCCCCACTGTATAATGTTAAGTTATTTAATTAGTATTCATTTAACTAGTATTTTTAAATATTTATTTACAAATTGTTGCGTTAATTTTGTACACTTTAATATTGCTGCAGATTTCAGTGAATTGGTTGCCATGCTGTTCTAACATCCTCAATAATAAAAGAGAAATCTTTGCAGTTTTGCCTTGCTAGCATGACAGAAACGGACCCATGACCTGATCGCTGCCTCCCTGCAGACCAGAAGCTTGTTAACTTACTCTGGTACAGCCACTGTATTTTGTAATGCTGACTGATTTCTGAATGAAAAGTTTCAAATGTGGACATCAAGATCTTTTTGATTGATGCCTGTGTCGTTGGCCATGGATTCGGCAGGATTATAGGACACTGCAGCCATGATTCACAGAATGATTACATATAATTAGAGCATGTGACCTTTTGAAATGGTCAGCTTTACTCACTGTTGAACAATCCGAGCTTGTGGCAAATTGAAAAGTGACTTCCTGTTGGACTGCTGCTCTATTGTGTTCTGCAGTCGTTCTCTGAATGCTGTGATGTCTTCTGGTGTCCGCAGTAGAAAAATACCACGGCCTTGGTTAAGGCCTGTGGGTTTGCAGATCCACATACTGGATGTAACATCGCATATTCCTAAAGGCCACACCAATTTTGTATTCATTAGATGCAGTACTGTGTTTATTTCCAAAGTTAGGAATTTATATATATACACTACAGTACAAAAGTTTGGGATCAGCAAGAGTTTTTTTTTAAGAAGTCTCTCAAGGCTGTGTTTATTTGATTAAAAATACAGTACAAACAGTAATATTGTGAAATATTATTACAAATTAAAATTAATATACTTTAAAATATAATTTATTCCTGTGGTGGTAAAGCTGAATT